AACACTTAAACTAGAAACTGAAAAATAATAATAATATGAAAAAAATTCGTCAATTTAAAAACATTCGCTGAAAAATAAATTTTCGCCAAATCTTATAAAATTCTGTAATATTAACAGAAATTTTCCCGTCTATTAAGTTACTGCATTGTTCATAATTATCGTATCAATTTAGTAGGGGCCCACCAGCGGCCGAGCGGTAAAGTCGCTGAACACTGGTAGTTCGGTCCGAGGTTCGATTCCTGCGAACGGGCTGGCTGCATGGGTGTTTTCGTGGTTTTCTCTATGTGTAACGTGTATACGAGCCAGTTTCCCTTAGAAAGTCCTCCACGAAGGCATCCCTCCCCTTAGGCAGATATCCCTAGTGTGCTTTGCCATAATTAAATACACACATACAATTTAGTAGGAAAGATTTTTTTTTATCATATTCATTGTAATATGATCAGTAAGAAGAAAAAAGGATAAATAATCTTCACCAGTTTTGAAATAGTAAGCAAAGAAAAATAGCTTTTGTAAAAAAACTGAAATATATTTACTCCAGAAGATATTCAAGACAGCAAAAGGAAATGAGAAAATGGTCATAGGAAAGATACTTTTCAGCAAGCTATGTATCAAGCCTAAGTTTGGGTAAAATGTTGGTGTCTAATTGGCGGGAGAAAAGTTGCATTTTCCATAACAGCGTTTCAACGTTAATTTCAGCATTTCATTCGGTAGAAAGTAGCACCTATGTTTAAACGGAAGATTACAAGTTTTCTTTCACATCCGAATATAAAGGAAAATCATTTTGAATGATCATATGCAAACGTTGAAATGACAAAACGAATTAGAAAATAAAATTACCGAAGGCAACATAGAGAACTTAGAATTCATAATTTTCACTTCAGTGTAAAATAAAGCTGTTTCTCCTCATCAATGAATTTGATCGACTGCGTCTCTTTCCTTTCATCAGTCTTAAGCGGGACAGAGATGTAAAAAATTACCATATTCCTCCATAATTTTTGTGATTTTCATTTCCTTGTGAGATTATTCGTTAGTACGTTTATTTAGCAAGTAAAAGATCCGTGATTTGAATGTTTGGAGAGGATAAAGTTCGTATTCCATATTTCTCTGACAGGAAATCTTACAGTCTCTACTGTAAACATATATATATGTATTTCTCAATGCAACTTTTATGGAATGGAAGTCAGCAGCTATTGTTCAACTCAAACTGCTTACTCACAAAATTAAATTTATTGGAAATCTTCAATAGACTCAATTTAAGCAACAAATTCAGGATTTAAAGCATCATTTTACAATAGATAAAGTTTGCAGTAACTTTAGCATAATATGGAAACAATTTTATGCTCAGCTGTTGGAATTAGAATAAATAGCACTATTACCTGTAAGTACACCAAATTTCAAGAGCCTACGATTGTTAAAAAATTTCTAGTTTTTCACAAATTGCTGAGAATTATACAAATTCCCAGTTGCAGCAGATTGGCTAATCTTTATGCGCTATAAAAGTTCCATAAAATTCCAGCTAAAATTAGACTTATTGCAAATGGTACCAACAATTACAAAAAAAAAAAAAAATGTTTGTTACATCTTTGTACAAAAGCTTAAAGAAAACTGCACACTAATACATAGTTTTACAACAAAGAACACAATTATAGCTGGATCATTAACAATAACCTGCCAGCAATAAACACTATTAATAAATTAACAATTCATGAAATTAACTGCTATTATTTTGAAAGCCTTTATACTTCTTTACTACCTCTTAAATAAATCTTCAACAGTCTATTAGAAATTCCAAAATTATTTTCACAAGTTTACTCAGTTGTCAGTATTGAAAACTGGAAAACTTTCTTTCAGTGTACATTATTCAATAATTTTATTAAGTTGCATAATAGTATTTTTCTACAGGTTAGAGTAACGCCAATGGGATTTAATAGTTCAAACAGATTTGTAATTTGTTTCTGTTTACGCAAGAGTATAAATTTCAACTATGATTAAAAGAACAAGAGTTAAAACTATTTGGCAATACCTACAGGTACATAGACGATATTATTACTTTCAATAATAATAAGGTGATATAGATGTTAAATAGAAATTATATTTATAAATATAGAATGTATATAAAATATAAATATAGAAATAAAATTTCATTGTAAACATTGTAAATATTTATATACATGTTTTGATAATTTGAATCAATTAGACACTTGCATATTTTTCTAGCGCTTTTTACATTTTTAAATTACTGTATTAAAATGTTTTACATAGTGTAGGGGAATTCTTGAACATGCATAGGGGTTTACTAATTTTGATACATGGATAATTAAAATGAATAAAGATCTTATAAATTTTTTTTAGATTACCTATGCATGACAAAGATGAAACACGATGTCTGCGCAATTGGGGACAAAGTGAGATAAGCCCTGATGAGTCATTATTGCCTCACTAACTTTTCAATTGTTCATTTTTCTGTAATTGTAATATTTTTCGTTTAATTTGCTTTTCAATTGAATTTGTTTTACCATCTTATAGTTAATACTTGACAGGCAGTTTTTCTCTTTGCTTCCATTACTATTTTCAGGTTTATTTTTCTTTTACGCAGTTTTTTTACATCTTTACAATTTATTTATTTTCAATTTTTGTACCATTGGAATTAGTACTTAGATTCATTGGTTGATTAAAATTGATGTTGACTTCAAATTAAAATTCCTAGTTTTAGCTAAATTTGGACTTTTGATAGTAATATTTCCATTTCATTAATTTGATTTTTTTATATATATATATATATATATATCCAATGTATATACAGAATGATTCATAACTATACCGGCAAACTTCCAGAGTGTGTAGACGGTACAGAGACTACTCGGAATCACATAGGAATGCAGGGTCGCAAAGCCGTAGTTGCAAGCTATGGTGCAAAGAAGCAGAGAAAAGAACAGAAACAGCAACACATTAGTGGGACAGAAAACATTTTATTGAAAGATTGCAGTAGAACAGGTGATCGAAATTACGATTAGAAGTTGTCAGGGAGGCTTGACTGCGGCGATGCATGGAATTCCTTGCGTTCTGGAAGATTCCTCCCGGCAGTCTTGCGGTAGATTCCGCTGAATGGAAGGTAGCGTGAACAGTGATCCTGCAGGAAGTCGTCATTTACGATCTGTTTCCCGGGGTAGTAGGGTAAACGCCTATTGAAATGAGGAACTGGTCGACATGCTGATCGTGTATGGAGCTGCAGATTAGAACAGGCAAAAAAACGCCGCTTGGCAATTGTTCCAGGGATGTTACCCAAACAGGCGTGCTCCACATTACAAGACCATCGCAAGTGGGAACATAAGGTTACGTGAGACTGGTTGTTTAACGAAAGCTAAACTGAATCAACAGTGAACCACGAGGGCTTAGGGCAATGAGTAGACGGTCTTATAACTGGCAGAAGACAATCCAAGTACGAGTACTTGAGCGATAACACAAGAAGTGGGTTTATCTCAACCCATTGTCTTCAGGATACTCGTAGCAAACCATCTTCATCGCGTCCATTTATTAGAGATTATCCACTCCGGAGGACGTTTGCTACATGGTTCCTGCAACAGGGTGCTACAGACAGTCCATCTGCTGCTTGCGTATTGTTCACGAATGAAGCATACCTCACATACGAGGGAGCCTTCAGTCAGCATAAAGCTCGTGTGTAACATTTAAGACTGGACAATGTGTTCAAAAGAACGGTAGGGCATACCTGATCTTCTTGCAGCAAGTTCTGCGCGAACTTCTGGACGCACCACATGTTCCTCCGTCGTTGCGCCTCTTCATGTGGTACCAGCATAAAGGGCTCCTCCACATTACACGACTGATGCCCGCCGACACCTTGACGTAACCTTTGGACAGCGGTGGATAGGTCGTGGTGCCCCGGTTCATTGGCCTGTCAGATCATCGGAACTATTATACATGAACTTCTTCTTCTGTCATGAAGGTCACATGAAGAGTTTGATGTACGATATGCCCGTTCCTTCAGTTGAAGCCCTCGTCACTCAAATATCTCTAGCTGTTGGGAGGATACGTGACATACCAGGAATCTTCCAGAACGTAAGGAATTCCATGCAGCGCCACTGTGAGACCTACCTGACGACTTCTGGTCGTAATTTCGAACACCTGTTGTAGTACAACCTTTCGATAAAATGTTTTCTGCCCCAGTAATGTGTTGCTGTTTCTGTTCTTTTTCTCAGCTTTTTTGCATAGTTCGCATGCAGGAACACTCAGACGTAGAAACGCAGACATACTAATGGCGTAGCACGTACATAGCCTTGAACGTAGACCCATATTGGAAAGAAAGAATTATAATTGCATAGAGTGCTAAAATGGTGAATACATGAAAACTAGGAAACTTGGCAACGCAGTAATATTAAGTATTCACTTTTATTTCAATTGAAATTTGTGACCACAATTCACTTGGCACTCTAATCGTGCCTATTTAAGAACATTTACATTCCTGATACTGTTGCGATGGGAAGAGAGTAGAGTGAAATAGCCTCCAAGCGACAACAGAGGTAGAAGCGAAGTGCCCAATTATCCAGTATGGAAGCTCACCAAGAGAAAGTTTTGGCTTAAATTAGAAAGTTTTCGGAATTTTGAGGTCAAGTTCCGAATTTGTTACGCCATTAGGTTACTCAAGGCATGTGACATATATTAATGTAGAAATGGCACATTCCGGAAAAGGTATTACAATTTTTAGAATACAGAGAGAAAATACCCAAATTAAAAATGAGGAATCAAAAGGCTATTGCTAAATTAAATTATAAAGCTGACATATTTTTGATCTTTTACACATATTTTTGACATATTTTTGATCTTATCTTTTTTTTTATTTTTTTATTTAACAAATTACAGTAATTTTTCATAAGACTCAAAATTGTAGTCTTCTATATATATTTTATTAATATTAAACAGATTTACTCCTTTCTTGATTAGTACTGAAGCACTGGTTTAATTTTTTTCTCTCTTTTCAAGACAAGTGAAATCAAAATTTTATTAGTCCTTCTTGAGACAATAAATGAAGTCTTTATATACATATCTACACAAGCTCTACAAGTAAGGAGGATTTAGTGCATATAGTATAAATTTACTATTGCATAAATGAATACCGTATAAATCCATCTGATGAGCAATTCTCAGAACTAATACAGTTCTTTAGAATATTTCACCAACCATTGGCAAGTGTCCGAACCAAACAGATTCCTGTGAGAGTGCTGGTTGATTTTCCCTCGTGAATTCATGAAAAGAAATGCGATTAGCAAAATGATCACCACTGTAGCCTTCAAGTAGAAATGGCATGTGATAATAGAATTCATGAGGAGGATCGCTTTCAGCATGCCGATGGCGATGTTGGTGCCACTGTTCATGTTTATGTCCGTGACCATGCCTATGACTATGGCCGTGCTCATGCCCATGCCTATGACCATGACTATGACCATGATGATGATGATGATTACCCGCCTTTTTTACTATAATCAGTCTTTCTTGATGAATCCTGAAAAAGATGAAATAATATTTTTAAAGTAATTCATTATATTATTAATAAAAGGCCTATAAATTATGAGTTGTAGTATTTCATTTAATCCTACTTAGGGTATATAAAACTTGTTATTTATCAGTAACTAAAGGAAAAGGAAAAAAGTACGTGTAACTAAAGTCAAAGGAAAAAGGTACGTGACTTTGTTAGGTAGCAGATTATGAATAATTTTTGTGTAATACTAAAACTTCAAAATATACTTTTTAGAGCCAGGAATTTTCTCATTCCTATACATCAGTAATCTGAACTATTACAATTTGGACAGTTATTACAGTTTGGACCAATGATTTTGCGTCTTAATGTAGAACAAAAAGGCGAAAATGATCGTGTAAAAGTGACCATTCTGACTTATTTATATTTATTGAATGATTTCTGCTCTCTTCATTAAACACTTTGAGCGCTACCATGGCATGAGCATTTTTCAACGGTAAAAGAATTCGTCTTCTTTATCGCAACAGACATCATAAAATTTACGGCATACGAATCTTTTTCAGTCCTAATTTGAAGAAATTTTTTTCCGATTTTTCTATTACATCTAATAATGTCATAACGTTATTTTTTGCCTTCTTTCCTCATGTCTTCGTAGTGTAATTAAAAACATACTTGACGCGTATTCTAGAGGTTCAGTGTTCGATTCCCGGTGAGAACATTGCACAATTTTCATGTCTCCTGTTTCAAAATAACCTAATGACTCCACTATGTAAAAATTAAGTAGTTAGTAAAACTATTAAGCACTGAAAAACGCAAGCATCCCTCATAAGGCGTGCATGCTTTTATGTACTTTGCATTATTCAGTTAACCAACCGACATACTGATAACGAAATAAAAGCTAAATATTTATAGAGATTAGTTAAAGGCTTAGAAATGTAGTTGAAACTTCAATTATTTGGGCGTTAAGGATGCTTACATTGTAAGGATCTTAAGTTTTACTAACGTTTATTTTATTTTAAATCTTTACTATCACTTCTTATTTTCTACTTCCCGCCAGAATTAAAAGCGTTAACTTATTTATGCAAAATTTGTCTGGCGAACGCCAAGTACTTAAGTTGTGGCTTTTTGCCAAGCGAGAGAGAGGAAGGAGTTAGTCGAAGCAGGCCGCTTGCCTTAGAAGTTTTACTCGGTTGCTGTTTGCCTTCCAAGCCAGAGGTTTAATCCTCGTGATAATTTTAAACGTATTGTAGTGTTAACAGTTCTCTGTACTACATACGGCTTCCTGTTAATATCTGGCCAATCTTACACGTAGGCCCTTGTTGATTATTCCAAATTTAAGTTAGAGTTTAGTTATATTTTTATATTCTTACGTTAAGACCACAAGTAGTTGGTCTCTGTATTCCGAAGTACGGAAATTATTGTAAAGAGTGAAAAATAAAGGGTTTTGTATACCCTTCCTGTGTATCTTGTCTACTTCCCACAGTTATTGAACATAGCTTTAGTAAGCTCCCTGTTCCGAGTCAGGTCTGTGCATGTTCCCAAAGAAAGTAAGACGGAACATTGAACCTGATAGTGGCGCCCAACGAAGAAGAATAACCATGGCCGAGTTTCAAGAAGAACCTGTGCTGCCTGCAGAAGCGGCTCAGAATCCAGAAATGCCAGCTGCCGCCCTGGAAGGATTTGGTTACATCGTCCAGACCATGCGCGCTTCGATGAAACCAGAAGCAACATTTAATGGAAACTCACCGGTAACCAGTTTTTTGGAAAAATTGGATGACCACTTCATGCTCTACCCCGTGCACGAGTTTCAAAAAGTTACCTTAGCTACCAGCGCTTTGAGGCGGCCAAGCGCTTAACTGGTTCAAATGTATAGGCAGAAGTCTCTTGGGTCAAGCAGGAAGTCCCACCTATACTTACGAGAATTTCAAGACTGCCCTAGTAAAAGCCTTCCCTGTCGTAAGGGATCGTGCGAAATTAGAAACGGAACTTTTCAGCATATATCAGCAAAGAATCGAAAATCTCTCAAGCTTTATTTTGAGAAAAATTCACGTCTTCAAACTCTTGTATGGAAACCGTCCGGATCCTGAGATAATTCAAGTGATTTTGCCGAGGTTTCTTCCCCAAGTGCAAGACTTTATTGAATTAAGGAATCCGACTACACTGGAAAAATTATTTGAGCTAGCAATCCAGTTTGAAAGTAGAAGAACGGCGGACATTGAAAGAAGACGCCAATATCAACAACGAAACCAATTTGGTGCGCCAAGACCACAGCAAAGTCAAGCGCACGGCTACGGAAGCAAAGCGAATCAGTGGGGAAGGAAACCCGAGCATTCAAAAACAGCCGGCGAACGTCGACAGTTCAATAGCAATCCAGGAAAAAAGTCTCTCAAGGCCAGCGGAAAAAGAAGGGAAGCATGGAAATGAAAAACGATTTAAACTAAAACGGATTTCTGCTTACGGGAGGGTGCGGAAATCCGAAGGCCAAGAAAACCCCTCTTCCTTCAAGTTAAATACAGTAATGGTGAAAAATTTGACTCTTCCGAAGATTGAAGTGTTGGTGAATAATGTCCCAGCCACCGCACCCTTGGATACAGGCGCGCAGTGTTCCTGTGTGGCAGAAGATTTTTTTAGGAAGTATTTTCGTAAATATCGCATATGTAATTCGGATAATACGACAGTGTTAGCTGCGCAAGGAGAAAGATGTAAGTGCATAGGTAAATTACCGCTATACATCCGTATCAAGGACGAACAAGTAAAGGTTATGTTTTTCATAGTAAAGAATCTGCAAGCACATATTATCTTAGGAATAAATTTTCTTTCAGAGGCACAAGCAACGCTGGATTTTAATGAAGCGTCCCTTAAGCTGACGATGAAACCAGTTCGAGAAGAAAAGGCTGAACCGCCGATGTTAAACCTTGACCACCTGCCTAATGAAGAGCAACGAAGAATCCGACAAGTGGATCCGGCACGGCAGACACGGCAGGTACAAGCTCCAGAGGTGGAACAACGTCAAGCACAAGGACAAGCCATTAGGAGGCAGGAGCAATTGAAAAGAAAGTTTCCCCGTTGGAAAATTGAAGGTAACAAGAAAAAGAAGCCGTTCCACCGTCCAGAAAAGAGAGCTCACGAACACCCCCAGAATGAAGAAGGGAGAAGTACGACGTATGCAAAGAAAGGCAGGAGAAATAACGGCAACTATAACCCGGCTCCCAAACGGAAGATCGACTCATCGGACAGGACTCTCCGCAGCAAAGATCGCCGAACTGCGGAAGGGCCACCAGCGGCGGAGGAAAAGTTACAAGGAAAATTTGAACGGCCAGCAACGAGGTCCAAGCAGGAACGCGAAAGAAGTGTCCCGGTTCCGCCAAGACCAGCTGCCATCAAACGGCCAAGACCAGAGGCAGAGGCGAAAAAGAAGGTATTCAAGGGTGACCGAACTGGAGGAAAAAGAAAGCTTCTAGAGGAAGGAGCTGAAGGGCGAGCCCGCACAAGAAGGAGGATAAATCAAACACGAATCGTTGCTATCTTCCAGGACTGGGCTGAGAAAAGAATGTCCGAATATCACAAAGATAAGTAAAATTTTATGTTACTTTGCAAACTTAAGTTAATCTTTCATTCTTACTGCAAGTGGCAGATTTCAAGACGTTTTACCTCATGTGAGGTCTACCTTTATCGCCAAAAAGGCGAGAAATGAGTTGTTACCTATTTTATGTTTTTCAATTACTCGCGAGTAAAACTAAAGTTGATGTATAATAGGAATGTGTAAATACTTGAATATTGTAAAAGTTATTGTATAAATTTTATTTAAAACATTCTGGCAAGAAAGAAGCTTTTGTCTGAAAAACTTTTTGAAATGTAGTATTTCAATGTAGAAGAATTGGCACTTGCTTGGAAAAGAATAGAAGTTAACAATGTACTACTAATGTATGTTTTAAAATGCGTAAAATTAACGGCATGTTAATATGTTCTTATATACAATGTGAACTGTTATTTTAAATGTTAAGAAATACTGTGATATGGTAAAAGTGAAAGTAATGCCAAAAAAATTTTTTTTATTCGTGTGACTGTAAAAAGACCAAATTATGGTGAATATGTGTTAAAGGTTGAATGAATGTAGTTAGGCTCTCTGACGCTACACTTCAGAGTTAGCCACTTTCAGAATAGTACCTCAGGTTTTAGAGTTGAAGATAGGGTGTGTTACGAGGTCTTGTCATGTTGAATTTTAACAAGTTAGTGTTTTGATTGTAGGAGGCAGTGTTGAACACGTATACATAAACACATTCGTGTTTGGTGTTCTTTTACAACACATGTCAGAGAGCACGGGGAGAGATAATTAAAATAGTCATGAATGAAATAAGAATGTTAAGAGAAATATAAATATGCATGTAACTTGCCATTTCATTGTGTAACATTTCATTAAACTCTGGAAGGAACCAGATTTGAATAAAAGCTCCTGTTTAGATGCAGTACAGATGAAAAATTGGGCGTCCATGGAGCTGCTATTGTAAAAACAATTTTTTTTTTTAATTTCTAGTTTCTAGTGAGAAATGTTTGTAAAAGATTGGCCTCGCGTTAGATTCTAGAGCTAAAAGTTTTCAACAAGGTCGTTTTAGACCTCAGTTTCAAACTAATTAACTCTGGCGGGAAGTATGTAAGGATCTTAAGTTTCACTAACGTTTATTTTATTTTAAATCTTTACTATCACTTCTTATTTTCTACTTCCGGCCAGAATTAAAAAGCGTTAACTTATTTATGCAAAATTTGTCTGGCGAACGCCAAGTACTTAAGTTGTGGCATTTTGCCAAGCGAGAGAGAGGAAGGAGTTAGTCGAAGCAGACCGCTTGCCTTAGAAGTTTTACTCGGTTGCTGTTTGCCTTCCAGGCCAGAGTTTTAATCCTCGTGATAATTTTAAACGTATTGTAGTGTTAACAGTTCTCTGTACTACATACGGCTTCCTGTTAATATCCGGCACTAGACCGTCAATCTCGGAACGCCTGCTATTGTTAGCTGGGCGAGTTCAATATACG